ATGCATGGATGTGTCTAGATGTGGTCAGCATGCATGGATGTGTCTAGATATTGTCAGAATGCATGGATGTGTCTAGATGTGATCAGCATGCATGGATGTCTAGATGTGGTCAGAATGCATGGATGTCTAGATGTGGTCAGCATGCAAGGATGTGTCTAGATGTTGTCAGAATGCATGGGTGTGCCTAGATGTGGTCAGCGTGCTTGGATGGCGGGATGACGTCAGCATGCATGGATGTGTCTAGATGTTGTCAGAATGCATGGATGTGTCTAGATGTGATCAGCATGCATGGATGTGTCTAGATGTGGTCAGCATGCATGGATGTGTCTAGATGTTGTCAGAATGCATGGATGAGGCTAGATGTTGGCAGCATGCATGAATGTCTAGATGTGATCAGCATGCATGGATGTCTAGATGTGGTCAGCGTGCATGGATGTCTAGATGTGGTCAGCATGCATGGATGTGTCTAGATGTGATCAGCATGCATGGATGTGTCTAGATGTGGTCAGCATGCATGGATGTGTCTAGATGTTGTCAGAATGCATGGATGTGTCTAGATGTGGTCAGCATGCATGGATGTGTCTAGATGTGATCAGCATGCATGGATGTGTCTAGATGTGGTCAGCATGCATGGATGTGTCTAGATGTGGTCAGCATGCATGGATGTGTCTAGATGTGGTCAGCATGCATGGATGTGTCTAGATGTGATCAGCATGCATGGATGTGTCTAGATGTGGTCAGAATGCATGGATGTGTCTAGATGTGGTCAGAATGCATGGATGTGTCTAGATGTGATCAGCATGCATGGATGTGTCTAGATGTGGTCAGCATGCATGGATGTGTCTAGATGTGGTCAGCGTGCATGGATGTGTCTAGATGTGGTCAGCAGAGATGGGTGTACCTAGATGAGGTCAGCATAGATGGGTGTGTCTAGATGTGGTCAGCATGCATGGATGTGTCTAGATGTGATCAGCATGCATGGATGTGTCTAGATGTGGTCAGCATGCATGGATGTGTCTAGATGTGATCAGCATGCATGGATGTGTCTAGATGTGGTCAGCATGCATGGATGTGTCTAGATGTGATCAGCATGCATGGATGTGTCTAGATGTGGTCAGCATGCATGGATGTGTCTAGATGTGGTCAGCATGCATGGATGTGTCTAGATGTTGTCAGCATGCATGGATGTCTAGATGTGGTCAGCGTGCATGGATGTCGGGATGACGTCAGCATGCATGGATGTGTCTAGATGTTGTCAGAATGCATGGGTGTACCTAGGTGTGGTCAGCATACATGGGTGTGTCTGGATGTGGTCATCATGCATGGGTGTGTCTTGATGTGGTCTGAATTCATTGGTGTTTCTAGATGTGGTCAGCATGCATGGGTGTTTCTAGATGTGGTCAGCATCTATGGATATGTCTAGATGTTGTCAACATACATGGGTATGCCTAGATGTTGTCAGCATACATTGGTGTGCCTAGATGTGGTCAGCAGGCATGGATGTACCCAGATGTTGTCAACATGCATTGGTTTGCCTAGATGTCAGCATACAAGGGTGTGCCTAAATGTTGTCAGCATACATTGTTGTGCCTAGATGTTGTCAGCAGGCATGGATGTACCCAGATGTTGTCAACATGCATTGGTTTGCCTAGATGTCAGCATACAAGGGTGTGCCTAAATGTTGTCAGCATACATTGTTGTGCCTAGATGTTGTCAGCATACATTGGTGTGCCTAGATGTGGTCAGCAAGCATGGATGTACCCAGATGTTGTCAACATGCATTGGTGTGCCTAGATGTTGTCAGCATACAAGGGTGTGCCTAGATGTTGTCAGCATACATTGGTGTGACTAGATGTTGTCAGCATGCATGGATGTACCTAGATGTGGTCAGAATACATCGACATGCCGGGCTAAACATAAGGACCTACAATACGTTTGCAGAGTTATGTCACTCAGTAGCCCGGATCTACTGGTCGTGGGTTTGAATGCCAGTTTCGCTCCGATATTATTTAAGCGGGGTCTGTCGCCGCCATAATTCCCAATAGGCTTTTAACCAAACTCACTCACTCACTCAGGCCCACGGATGTGGTCTACCTTCTCTTCTACCCCTTCTCTCATCAAAATGTGTTTACCGCTTATCCACTCTGTGCAGTCTACACATACCGTTTACTAGTCACTGTCCTGTAGACACTGACAAAAGTGCCCTTTTAACAACTTTCATACCTGCTTGATGAAGATTTTCGTACACCGAAGCACCGCCTATAGGTATGAACAGTAAGGCACAGGCAATGTGATAATCAAGGGGTGGGAAACCCGAAAACCTTGAAGCAGTAACAGAATGCCTCAAACAAACGTATATAAAATGGGCCACACAGTTCATGAAGAAGTTGTCACCACGCAGTGCTGTTGTTTGTGACTATCTGCGTCAACTTCTAGAACACCAATCAACCAGTCAGCGACTCCCCCAACTTGCCACTCACTCATCGGAGTGTGTATGTGTAATCGAGGGTGGTGATGATTCCACTCCCGTGTTCATCTATTTAAAGGGGCATATAGCTTAGAACTCGGATATACAGAGGAGGGGCATATAGCTTAGAACTCGGATATACAGAGGAGGGGCATATAGCTTAGAACTCGGATATACAGAGGAGAGGCATATAGCTTAGAACTCGGATATACAGAGGAGGGGCATATAGCTTAGAACTCGGATATACAAAGGAGGGGCTTATAGCTTAGAACTCGGATATACAGAGGAGTGGCATATAGCTTAGAACTCGGATATACAGAGGAGGGGCATATAGCTTAGAACTCGGATATACAGAGGAGGGGCATATAGCTTAGAACTCGGATATACAGAGGAGGGGCATATAGCTTAGAACTCGGATATACAGAGGAGGGGCCTTTACTAATCCATCTTAAGTCCTCTGAGGCGTGTTTGTAAAATATATTCTAATAACAATAATACAATTGAAAACAGGTCACTCAGTAGTACATGTGTGGAATTGTATTTGTTTACTTAGGTATATATTAGGTAGGTGTGTGTGTGTGTGTGTGTGTGTGTGTGTGTGTGTGTGTGTGTGTGTGTGTGTGTGTGTGTGTGTGTGTGTGTGTGTGTGTGTGTGTGTGTTATGGGCTGGTACTGACCTCCGACTGCATATGTAATGGGTATCTCCACTAGCTACCCAATTGCCGTATATCGAGTACAGCAAGGGATTCAACATATACTCCCTGATATAACACGAAGAACGTACAGTACAGTCAAGTATATACCTGTGAAGTAAGAATGTGAGTTACGTCACAAAATACCTGTCTCGAACCTTTGATCTTACCGCCACGACAAGGTAAGGTGATTTATTTGTTCTCGGCGTCCACTTCTCCAGTAATACCCAATCAGTTATCGACAGTCACTGCCGCAGTTGTACATTGACAACTGAAGATCACGTATTGTGATATGTACAATAAGTAATTACTTGTAAACATGTATGGGCCGCTTGCGGCTAAGTCTATCTCGCAGTCCTGGAACTCTGTTATTTTCACTTTCGACCAGCCTTTACTGTATTGCAATTGTCCCGAATGAAGCAAGTCTAGGTTTTCCACATGTTGAATCTTCCATTTCACGCAGTCTCCTTTCAATTTAAATGTAGCTTGTTTCTATTACAATTCTATATTTTCAGATATTCTGTTTGCGGCTGTACTTGCCAAAGTGGAAGTGGAAAAGATGCGTTTATACAAAGAGGAGCTAGAATATATGTGGCTAGTGTGATAAAATATAATGTATTAATAATGTATATCATATACACAAAGTAAGGAAGAGAATACACAAAGTAAGACCTTACAAATATCATTTTTTTCTTTTTTAATGTTTCATGATAAAATGACATAAATTAATCTTCAGTTATCTCTCACGGAGAAATGATCAACCTTTCCTCCGTTTACCATATATGAAGTGACATTTCACATGAGATAAACTTCTAATAGGGAAATATATATGCTCGTGAAAATTGCCGTCTCGGCAAGTTTAAATCAAGTTAAAATACTCACTTTTTTCTCTTATGACTCAAAATTAAATATGCATATATATCAATCTATTCGTTATTGATTTATTTTATTTTATACAAATAATGTCTCACACAAGGAACTGAAAACGTCTAGACAAAGACTGAGGCGAAACAGGTCATGTCACATAGTCTCTCTTAAAACTGCTTCATAGTTAGCAAACAAATAAAAATCATAATTATATTACCGAAGCCACTGTCATGGTGTCAAATATTTGTTGGATAGTCAGTAAAATTAAAAGTTGAATAGAAAGTATTGACAAATGACTGTCTAGTAGATAGAGTGCAACTGACGACCCAGGTAAGAGTCGCTCTGCTCTTAATAGAACTACAAATCATCCCTGTCCCATCTTCGCTACATCGCGACCCAGGGATGTTGAAGCATTCACCGGGACAAAGGCTATCTGAAGATGGGTCTGCCGCGTTTGCCGACACCGGTTCGTAAACCACCTGCCGCAACGGGAAGTTGAAAATAACAATAGCGAAACGAAAACAGAAATATTCAGGAATAGGACTCCGTATCGGAAATCGATCCCAATAAGCCTAGATATAAAAGAAATTCAACATTGTTTCAATTTCTGATAAATAATTGATTAATCCTTACTGTCTTGACAAAGAGACCGCGTAACTTAGAGTGAAAACGAGGTTGTGACCTTTGACTCCGATGGTTGGTGGTAAAAATAACCACCAATCAAGATAAAGCATTGACAGGAAATAGCACACGTGGTACTTCCATACATACTGTACTGACGAGCTGAAGTTCGCGAAAAAAGTTGAAAAATATTCAAGATAAATCGGGTAAGTACACTTTCCTTATAGTATTTCCATAAAACGATGCAGGGGGGTCGTGTGCATCTTTTGCGATAGGATTTGCCCGTCGAAAACCATAAGATCTACGAAATTTTGCTTCGAGCCCTACACCCTTTGAAGTGCTGTGGGCCCGACTGTATTCATTCATACAGATTTGCATACAAGTGTTGACACAATCAGCAAGGGGACCTAAGGAATGTACAGTCACCTTAATCAAAGGGGCACCTGTTAGCCGTTGAAACGTTGTACTCAGACAAAACGACCTGCCAGTTTATACGTGTATATCAGCTATTTGTGTACAGATTTTGTCAAGCTCAAGTCAGAGCGCCGAGGAATTTCCAGTTATCGACCCGTGTGAAGATAGATCTACCGTCGTGTCGATCAGCGTTGTGTGGTCGGAGCATGGGTGTCGTACTTTCGGTCAGGATAAATGTGTGACCACCTTCGCTTGATTGGACATCAACATTGATACCGTAAGATTATTACACATGTTTCAGTATTATATAGTCAGGTATTATGATGACGGAAATGTTCCAGAGCCAGAACCTTGTCAATGTCACACGGTACTGTTGACATTCTCCACAACAATAACGTGACAATACAATCACCGTTTCTCGTGACTTAGTCAAATAGGAATCGAACAACAAGTCGCTCCATGGCGATCTTCATGATAATCATGTACATTGGACTTGAGAACTACATCTATATTTGCGACAATTCGAACCACGAAATATCCTTGAGGACGTTGCTCGAAATAACACATAACAGCAGTACACACAATGATCGGTTCAACATAATCAATGTAGTTGAGGTTAAGATAAAAGCCTTCACTGGGAAATAATTATTCATTTTTAGGTCAATCAGTCAAAGTTCTTCATAGTGGATATGGAATCAGTTTGTTAGAATCTGCTCTAAATTGTCACAAATTTACTTTTACATTAGAATTTACTATATATCTAGATCTAGATCTATTCATTGTGGAAAAACAAGTGAAGTATGAACTAAGAGATGGATTCTGCCAACCTCTATCTTTTAAAGCGACATCATTTCAGTTTAACAGGTCCGATAATTATAATGCCATTCAGCTGACATCTGATCTACTGAGACACTACTTCCTCATAATCTGCGGAATATTTGGCTTTAACTGCAACGTTATTATCATACATGGTTTAGATTGCACAGTTCAGAAATCCAATTTCTAGACAGCCAGTGACACCCGTGTCTAATGAATTTTTTTTTCAGGCATGCAAAATTGTGCTGTCACTACTTGTCTGTGTGTTTGTGAGTGATGCAATTAAGTTTGCACTGATCAAAATGCGACTTACTTTCGCCTCTATGTATTGATTTCCTTGCTGAGGTGTTTAACCTCAAAGGTAAGAAATATGACAGCAGTCATATTGGACTCGACTATTTAAAAGACTTGGAGTGAGAATATCCATCCTATCCATGGCTCAATTACAATTTATCTTAGATGTAATGACTTGCAATTAGTGTTCGGTAAAAGTCTCATCAAGGCATGGAGGCTTGGACCAAACAGCGGTTATTGAAGGATGTGCACAAGTTTAGAATGAGTATGTAAAAATTCATGGTTTTGACATTCATGACCAATATCTATCTCACTATCAGCACAGAGCGGTGGGGAAGCCTTGTCGTTAAAGTGTTTGCTCATCACGCCAAAGACCCGGGTTCGATTCCCACTTGGGTGCGATGTGTGAAGCCCATCACTGGTCTCCCCCGCCATGATATTGCTGGAATATTGCTGGAATATTGCTAAAAGCTGTGTAAAACCAAACTCACTCACCCACTATCAGCACAGTGGTGTGAACTCATGTTTCTTGCAGATTACATGTGAAACATTGTCCAGTGTGATGGACACAGAGAGAAACTTATTCAGTGCTTCAGAACATGGAATCAACTGTCACTCGCTGACAAGAAGGGAGCTGCAATACAATCTCATCACAAATGTCTTTCACTTTATTGAATGAAAAGTTCTGGGCAAGTTGAAATTCAATCTTGCAGGTGATTTTATCTTTGTCAATGTTTTTTTCGGATTAATGTGGAAGATTTTGGCCCCGACACCAGTGTCCAAAAAAACTGCCTGCCTGACTGGTAACTTTTCTGTCAGGATACATGAAATTTTCCCCCACCTGTCCGACTGTCTGGCAGATTATTTTAAGACTACTTATGAATTCAGTTTTATTATAACTGGTTGTAGATTCTTAGTCTGGTTATTTCAACTAAATCAAGGCATGATTTTTCTCTCAACTTTGCGATTTTTCAATGTTCATATTGCCTGAATGTGGGCTGGTAAATTAAAAGATGGGCAGGCAGCACTTATTGGTCACCTGCTCGACTGTCTTGTTGGGTTTTAAAATCATTTCAAACACTGCAGTATTCCCATATACACTCTGGTGTGGTATGGTAGAAGTCATCTGTCAGGTGTGAATATCAGGCTGGCAGATCTAACTCCAGACTCCAAACTCAACTAGCAAGTGATTAATGCATGGTTCATCAACATAATCACTCAGACTTCATGAGGCCGGACAACCAAGGCTTGTATCTTTCAAATTTATCACTGTAGACAGGGAGATAACCCTTGCTATCTGCATGAAGGTGTGTGTTTCAGACCCCACATGTTGAGATGATGGCATCGCCTGAGTGGCAGTACCATGGTGACCACTTCATCCCCCACACAGGGGATGCTGCTAGGGATATCACAGACAGGATGCGATGTTAAGGGGGAATCCTGAATGTTTTTATGATTTAGTCCAGGGACCTCTTGAATCTGTATCTTTTAGTGTTCAGGTTATGGCAAACAAAAACTAATACTTCAATAATTTATTTCAGAAGTCACATTACCACTCGCTTCAGGGAACTGTAAATGCTTCGTCTCTGAAAGTATATGATTTTGATAGAAACAAGCAACTTCATTTAAATGAAAAGGAGCCCCTGGTAAGATAGTCAAGATTTTCCACAGCTACTCCTATCTTAAAATATGTGAACCAGGGCCAGACAATCCTGTGATTGACATGAGCATTGATACATGCAATTAGGATTCGATGACATGCATGAACCAGGACACCAATCCCGTTGCGACAAGCACAGTTTGCTGAAGATCAACTCTAACCTGGATCTTCAAGGGTCTGACCAATATTTTAGAAATGGTACAGTTGTTCAAGTATCTTATCAAGGCATTGTCTATTGTAGATATTCAATCCTAAGACTTCAGAAAATGTAGCCACAGTCCCCAAATTGGAATAAATGATAAATATTATAGTCTTAATAAATTAAATTAACTAATGTAATGGCTTTGCAAAGACAACTCAAGCTTACTTACAACAAGACCAATGAACATGATATTAAAGGAATGGAATGCCATGTTTCGATTCAGTAAGTATTTAGAAAGGAAATCTGTATTTATCTGATATGTATAATGTATATATCTCACTCGAGTGATGTAAACCTGACGCGCTCAAGGGTTTATCTAGACTTGCCCAGAACTTGATATTCGCTCCAAGCCTATAGCAGATGTCAGTGAACATTCCCACATGGGAATAAAAAAGTTCCCAATTCTTGTTAATATAATTATTACTAATCTTATGTCTGTGTAAGATAACTTGTATATCACTGATAACAGGACCATTTATGAGGAAGAGGTTTCAATGCTAAATTTTACTTTATTTGCACACAATAAGTGTCAAAATACCTCAGAATTTTGCAAAATTAGCTTTATCAAAATCCCAATTTCAAAGAAAATTTTGAATTTTTTGGGGGAGTCGATTTGCCTGCCAATGGCATGTCCTGCATTCTGTGGTTTTAAGAGTACAATGGTTAAGAGCAGTAAGCTAGGTAAGAAAGAACAATAAATATGTTTAGAGGTATTGAAGATTTTTTGTCTTTCTTGTCAAATAACACATTTATTTCATCTTGTGACAGCCTGTCACTCATAAAAATATCATTTTTGGCAGGTCATTTGATAAGATATGTATGTTATTTGACAAGAAGAGATATATATCTCCTACTTTGTCTATACCACCAGACATCAGGAAACAAGAGCTTGGACAAAGAAATGGATTTGTTCAATTAGTTATTAATCCCAGAAAATCCACGTTGATCCGTCATGTCTATATCATGATTAGGATGTACATCAGTACAATAGTTTCACTTTGGTTTGTTTATATTACAAATTCTAGAATATACCTTTTCTATTTCCCTATTGACATTTCCCTTAGTCTGATAATCGTCTGCATATTGTATTGGAAGGCTATTTATAGCAAGGGGGCACGGTAGGCCCAGTCGTCTTAGGCGCCGCGATTCGCTGTGCAGTTTCATCCCTTGGGCACGCCAGAAACCTATGATTGTGGGTTCGAATCCCGGTTCGCCCCGATTATGTTTCTAGGTTTGTCAGCACCATACCCGTGCTCGTGGGTTTCACCAAAGTGGTAAACGTCAGAGACCTGCATCACTTCGGGCTTTCCTCCCACATTAAGCTGACACGCCGCGATATAACTGTAATAGTGTTAAAAGCGGCGCTCACTCACTCACTCACTATTTATAGCACTGGTGGTAATAAGGTGGGACCATACACCAACTGTGCGATCCAATACGTATCACGATACCTTGCTCACGATCCGATACATATCGCTATACTTGCATGTGCACTTATCTGTGGTGTGTAAGCCATCTTTTTCATAGACAGGATTGCCAAATACTTTGCACACTAATGATTAACAGTTGGCAGTGTCAAGTATGGTGCAATGGCTAAAAATATATACATTTTCACTAGTAATAAGAGTTTGGTATTACACTTATTCAAGAAAACATTTATGGTAAGAATCAATACTTTTTACTTAGTGTGCAACTGTGATTGATACTTACGACAATCATTTTTTTATCCCCCGCCGCGCGAAAGCGCGAAGCGGGGGATATAGTATTCACGACCGTCCGTACGTCCGTCCGTACGTCCGTCTGTACGTCCGTCCGTACGTCCCACCTGTTTGTTGCCGCGATATCTCAAGAACTAAACACTGGATTGTCTTCATATTTGGAACTATGGTGTATATACAGACTCCGCAGACACCAGTCGGTTTTGGTGACCTTGATCATATTTTCAAGGTCACAGCAGACAAATCTGCTTTTAGAGTTGGAAAACGGTGTTGCCGCGATATCTCAAGAACTAAACACTGGATTGTCTTCATATTTGGAACTATGGTGTATATACAGACTCCGCAGACACCCGTCGGTTTTGGTGACCTTGATCCCATTTTCAAGGTCACAGCAGACAAATCTGCTTTTAGAGTTGGAAAACGGTGTTGCCGCGATATCTCAAGAACTAAACACTGGATTGTCTTCATATTTGGAACTATGGTGTATATACAGACACCGCAGACACCAGTCGGTTTTGGTGACCTTGACCCCATTTTCAAGGTCACAGCAGGCAAATCTGCTTTTAGAGTTGGAAAATGGTGTTGCCGCGATATCTCAAGAACTAAACACTGGATTGTCTTCATATTTGGAACTATGGTGTATATACAGACACCGCAGACACCAGTCGGTTTTGGTGACCTTGACCCCATTTTCAAGGTCACAGCAGGCAAATCTGCTTTTGGAGTTGGAAAACGGTGTTGCCGCGATATCTCAAGAACTAAACACTGGATTGTCTTCATATTTGGAACTATAGTGTATATACAGACTCCGCAGACACCAGTCGGTTTTGGTGACCTTGATCCCATTTTCAAGGTCACAGCAGGCAAATCTGCTTTTAGAGTTGGAAAACGGTGTTGCCGCGATATCTCAAGAACTAAACCTCTCGATTGTCTTCATATTTGGAACTATGGTGTATATACAGACACCGCAGACACCAGTCGTTTTGGTGACCTTGACCCCATTTTCAAGGTCACAGCAGGCAAATCTGCTTTTGGAGTTAGAAAACGGTGTTGCCGCGATATCTCAAGAACTAATCGCTGGATTGTCTTCATATTTGGAACTATAGTGTATATACAGACACCGCATACACCTGTCAGATTTGGTGACCTTGACCCCATTTTCAAGGTCACAGCAGGCAAATCTGTTTTTGGAGTTGGAAAACGGTGTTGCCACAATATCTCAAGAACTAATCGCTGGATTGTCTTCATATTTGGTACTATGGTGTATATGGCGGGGGATATTTCGTCACTCTGTGACAAATACTTGTTTAATTTGTTTTGATTGTTGTTTAACGCTGCAATCAGCAATATTTCAGCTATCTGACAGTGGTCTGTAAATAATCGAGTCTGGACCAGACAATCCAGTGATTCATATTATGACCACTGAATCATGTAATTGTAATGTCAATACATACATCGACCAAGTCAGTGAGTCTGACCACCCGATCCTGTTCGTTGCCTCTTACGACAAGCGTAGTCGCCTTTTACAGTATGGAATACTGCATAGAATAACATAAAACTTACTGCATCAACACATATTTCAGCGTTCATAAACGGATAAACGTCTTCACAGGTTTACAACAATAGTAGCACTTTTATTGCTTTATGGAACAGTGCCCAGCTGATATGATCGATGGAAAGTCACAACGAACTAAATCCATTTGATAATGCATGTATCCTATTAGTTAATAGTTCAACAGATATATTTTTTGTCTCAATGGAGAACCTTTTATCTTCTTCCAGAAACTGCTACCATGGATGCCAATTGTTGACGATGTAAGCAATGAAAACAGCAGCAGCTTCCAAATACCATGTTAATCAAAATGAGTCGTCTAATCGGACGCGGAGTCGTCGAGACAGTAGTGAGAAGAAGTATGAGGAGGTAGCAGTGGTCGGTAATGGGGCGTACGGGACCGTGTACAAGGCCCGAGACCTCAAGTGTGATGGGCAGTTTGTTGCCATGAAGAAGATTAGGATCTCCAACACAGAAGAGGGCATGCCCATGAGCGCCATCAGGGAGATTGCTTTACTCAAACAGCTGGAGAAATATGAACATGAAAATATTGTCAGGTATGTGTTCTGTTACAATAGCTTAATAATAATAATAATGTTGGAAAATCAATTACTTTCGAAATCAGTTAGACATCTTTCAGTGGCATTTAGAAGTTGGTGTGATAAAGTAAGACGAGTTCTATGGATGAACAACTTCTTTATTACAATTAGTGCGACGTTTCGGTGTAGATCCTAACAAGCAAGGGCTTGCTTGATAAAGGTGTTAGGATCTACACCGAAACGTCGCACTAATTGTAATAAAGAAGTTGTTCATTCATAGAACTTGTCTTACTTTCAGTCAGACGTGTTAATAATTTGACAGAGCTCCAGATAACTTTTTGACCAATTGAGTTTTTACTCGAAGTGATCTATTGTAATTGGGTTATTACATTTTTTGTTGGGTAACCAATATTTTTTCAACGTCTGTTCATCACTTTATTGCGTTTTTCCCAAAATGAGTAAACATTTTGAGATTTTACATGTTTAAAATATAATTAAATAATGTTTTAGATGTATATAAAGATTCTAAGTATGGGCTTGACTCGGAAAGTAAATTAGCTTGTAATTGTGTTTAGGAAATTAGCACCATTGTACGCATGCTGAAAAAACTTCATTAGGTGATTACGCATGCTGTTTTTATACGTTTGAGTGTTCCGCACTGTATGTTTCTGTACGCAAGTTAATTGAAAGTAATTGGGTTTTGAATATTTTGAGAGGTTGGGGGGGGTACTTTACGCAAATAAGCAGCTTACCAATAGTTCTGATTTGACGCTTTACACGACTGTTGCATGTTTTGCAACACAGACTCATTTCTTGTTAAATATGCCTTGATTTACTTGTACTCATCATGGTTGGCCAAGATACATTGACTTCAGACATTCAATGTTTATCAAACTATATCCTAGAAAAAGAACCCCACTAATAATCTATCACATATTATTCATCAGAACAGCATTATTATTTACCCATATTTTATTATTACTGACCAGGGTATGTGGGTCAAATAGAGCCAGGAGGTGTCATGAACACAACAGGTGTAGGTTGAATATCCATTGTTAACGTGGTTAGGGTGTAGGTGCAATAGCTGTGTATATTACAGGGCATGTGGTCACGGGAGGCCCAGTCATCTAAGGTGCTGCAATTTGCTGTGTACAGTTGCGTTGCTTGGACATGCAAGAAACCTATAATTGTTGGTTCAAATCCCAATCGCCCTGATTTTGTTTCTTCGTCAGAACTATACAGTGATTTATCAAGGACTGTTCAAAGGCCGATATTCAGCCCCAAGTCTGCAGCAAATGTCATTAAAAATTCCAAATTGGAATTTGATAAGTTCCCAATTCATGTTACAGTTTTAACGGATGTTATGTCTTTGTAGAGTTGACTTGTATAGAGTCCTTGAAAATAAGGACTAATAACAATCCCAATTTTGACACAAAGAAACAATTGTTTTCTCAATTTGCATGCCATGGGCTCTTACTTTGGAATCCTATATATGTGACTGCCATATCTCCTGTGTTTTACCATAGTGGTCACTGGTAAGGCCTGCATCACTTCGGCTTTCCTCCCACATCAAGCTGACCTGTGGTGATATAACAGAAATTCTCTTCAAAATGGCGTTAAACCCAACTCACTCATTCTGGGCCCACTTGCACAAAGCGATTTTAGCGCTAAGACTATTGTAAGCCTGTGTTTAAGTATGGGAGTTACGATCATCTTAGTGCTAAGATCACTTTGTGCAAGTGAGCCCTGGAGTCTGGAATCCCAGCATTGCTCCTCATTATCTGTGAGGCATGAAGTCAGTTACATGCAGCTGTAGGGCTGTAGAGTGATTGTTTCCACGTCCTGCTCCTGCGGGAAAGTGTGCATGCACATGACATGCCCCGAAGCATAGGCCAACACATGACACCTTCATTAACCTCCCAGATGGGAGCGCCCTGTGAAGATCCGGGTTACAATACGTCTTCAGCAACCCATGCTTGCTGTAAGAGGTAACTTTGCTTGTCGTAAGGGGCGACTTACAGGATTTGGTGGTCAGACTCGCTGACTTGGTTGATTGTCTGGTACAGACTCGATTATTTACAGACCGCCATCATGCCAATGCAAAGCTTTGAAGTAGCCTTCAGTACTTGACAGTCATGCATGCACTGAAGTTGACTGAAGTTACATCATTATGAAACATATAAAGTCAGAAAGAAATGTGAACATTTGTCACTTATAGTGTAACCATAGAGTTTGCCATTAAACAATATAGTCACGTGACTAATCACGGGGTCGGGTAGTCCTACGGGTACCTGGGTCCTACTCAGTACCCACGCAAGTCGAGAACCCGCGTTACCCCTCCCAGCCCTAGTGTGTAGGGCATCATGAATAATCAGTGTGGTTAGCAATGGTAAGAGGTTTAACATAAACTTTCAATTTGTATTTCCAATACAAATTACAGATAAAGATAGCGATATGGTGATTCAAGCATTGCAGTGTTGGGTTCCATAGTCAGATCCGTTAAGTCAAAGAGGGTGCTGATAACACTGGATTAACATGCTCTCGGGTTGGCTGTACAAGAGCCATATATCGGAAAGAGCAAAAGGCTTAAATAATGATCAACTTGATTCCGAACATGCTGAATATACTGAAACATTAACATGCCAACTTGAAAGTGTTGGATCAGTCACTGATTACATGTGTGACATTCATGCATCACTGGTTACATATGTGACATTCATGCATCACTGGTTACATATGTGACATTCATGTGTCCATGGTTACATATGTGACATTCATGCGTCACTGGTTACATATGTGACATTCATGTGTCCATGGTTACATATGTGACATTCATGTGTCCATGGTTACATATGTGACATTCATGTGTCCATGGTTACATATGTGACATTCATGTCTCCATGGTTACATATGTGACATTCATGCGTCGCTGGTTACATATGTGACATTCATGCATCACTGGTTACATGTGTGACATTCATATGTCCATGGTTACATATGTGACATTCATGTGTCCATGGTTACATATGTGACATTCATGTGTCACTGGTTACATATATGACATTCATGCATCACTGGTTACATGTGTGACATTCATGTGTCCATGGCTACATATGTGACATTCATGTGTCCATGGTTACATATGTGATATTCAGTTGCCAATGGTTACATATGCAACATTCATGTGTCCATGGTTACATATGTGACATTCATGTGTCCATGGTTACATATGTGACATTCATGCGTCACTGGTTATATATGTGACATTCATGTATCACTGGTTACATATGTGACATTCATGCATCACTGGTTACATATGTGACATTCATGCGTCCATGGTTACATATGTGACATTCATGTGTCCATGGTTACATATGTGACATTCATGTGTCCATGGTTACATATGTGACATTCATGCGTCCATGGTTACATATGTGACATTCATGTGTCCATGGTTATATGTGTGACATTCATGCGTCCATGGTTACATATGTGACATTCATGCATCACTGGTTACATATGTGACATTCAAGTGTCACTGGTTATATATGTGACATTCATGCATCACTGGTTACATATGTGACATTCATGCATCACTGGTTACATATGTGACATTCATGTGTCCATGGTTACATATGTGACATTCATGTGTCCATGCTTACATATGTGACATTCAGTTGCCCATGGTTACATATGTGACATTCATGTGTCCATGGTTACATATGTGACATTCATGTGTCCATGGGTATATGTGTGACATTCATGCGTCCATGGTTACATATGTGACATTCATGCATCACTGGTTACATATGTGACATTCAATTGTCACTGGTTATATATGTGACATTCATGCATCACTGGTTACATATGTGACATTCATGCATCACTGGTTATATATGTGACATTCATGTGTCCATGGTTACATATGTGACATTCATGTGTCACTGGTTCCATATGTGACATTCATGCATCACTGGTTATATATGTGACATTCATGTGTCCATGGTTATATGTGTGACATTCATGCATCTCTGGTAACATATGTGACATTCATGCATCACTGGTTATATATGTGACATTCATGTGTCCATGGTTACATATGTGACATTCATGTGTCACTGGTTACATATGTGACATTCATGCATCACTGGTTACATATGTGACATTCATGTGTCCATGGTTATATGTGTGACATTCATGTGTCCATGGTTATATATGTGACATTCATGCATCACTGGTTACATATGTGACATTCATGCGTCCATGGTTATATGTGTGACATTCATGTGTCCATGGTTATATGTGTGACATTCATGTGTCCATGGTTATATGTGTGACATTCATGTGTCCATGGTTACATATGTGACATTCATGTGTCCATGGTTATATGTGTGACATTCATGTGTCCATGGTTATATGTGTGACATTCATGTGTCCATGGTTACATATGCAACATTCATGCATCTCTGGTTACATATGTGATATTCAGTTGCCCATTGTTACATATGCAACATTCATGTGTCCATGGTTACATATGTGACATTCATGTGTCCATGGTTTCATATGCAACATTCACGCATCACTGGTTTCAAATGCAACATTCACGCATCACTGGTTACATATGTGACATTCATGTGTCACATAGTCTTAAAATTGTCTGCCAGACAATTGGGCAGATGGAGGAAAATTTCATGCAACCTGAGAGAAAAATTACCAGCCACAGGCAGCCGAGCAGGCAGATATTTCCGACACTGCACGGGTCACTAGTTACATATGTAAGGTTAAAGTGCCCTGTCACGCCGTCATTGTGTAATGATCTTTTTCCGCTTCATTTTACTTTGCAAGGGATCGGTGATCTAGTAAGTTGTTGACGGAAAATGTGTAGCCATGTGTAGCCATGATCGCGATGCAATCCCTCTGTGATCACGCCGACCATCAAGGCATGGATATTGATCTGATATGACTGAATGTGGGTCTGTGTGCCACTACCTCCACGACTCCACTGCTCGTGCTTGCAC